CTGTACAAAGAACTATATAAAATAGCTACAAAGTGAATTTGGTTGTGCAATTTTGGAATGAAAGTTTTTACTTATCTAAACTTCATATTAATATTTCTAGAGAGATGAAATCAATAGTGGGGTAGGAAATTTTGGAGATGAATATTATGGTTACAAGTGGCGAATTTAGAACTAAAAGCATGAGGTTTCTTATGTAAATGAAATTAAAAAAATATGAAAAGATAGATCTTTTGACAAAAATACGATAGTTCCTTATATTTTATATATATTTGTTGTATTAAGAAAAAAAGTAGATCCTACGACCTACTTTGTGCTATTGTGCATGAGTAGCGCACACATCATGGTGTTTGTCGAGCATGTCAGTTGTGTCGAGCTCCTATATTGTAACGCCCGTGTTTCTAGGCTTGCCATTTTTAGCAATGTAATAGTTAGGTTAACCTTGTAACTCAACTTGAAATAATAAGAATGTATTATTTGTGAATTATTTGAATTATGTGATTTATGTGTGTATTTTCTTAATTTTTATAATTTAATGAATTAAGAATAAAATAAGCGTCAAAATTTAAGTGTGAGTTAAGCCTGACATCTTTGCATAAAGTTGTAGTGGTCGAAACAAGGATTCCGGGATATAAGGAATGCCAAAATCCGAGTTATAACGAAGAAGTTATGACCTGTCGAAGTTTCGCGACAGAACCGGTACGACGCCGAGTGACGTAAAATATGAATTTAAGATAGAGCGATATTTAGCCTTAGCAATCTAAACGAAAGTCGTAGATTTCGTTAAACCGAGAGCATGCATAAAAGGAACGCCCAAATCTGACTTCGTATGAGGAAGTTATGATTTTATGAAGTTTCGACTTAGCAGTATACAGCCCGAATACTCGATTTGAGATCGAGCGGTTTTTAGCCGAAACAATCTAAATGAGAATCGAAGATCTTGTTGTTAGTAGCGAAACGATGAAAAGTTAGGCGAGAACGGACGTCAGACGAAGAAGTTATGAATTTATAACGAAGTTTTTCTGTCCCGGCCTTCTAAAAATAAATAATAAAATAAAAGTCAAAATTAGCCGACGGAGTCTAAATGAAAGTTGTAGAGTATGGTCTGACCTTCGCGTGGATATAAAGAACGTCGAAAACGGAGCTCGTATGCGAAAGTTACGCAATTTAGAAGTTTGACAAGTCAATTACGCCCCGCGTAATTTGAGTACGCCCCGCGTACTCAGTCGGATGCAACTTGTCTGACCAATACTCGAGTGCCACCAGTCGACGCACGCAGTGACGTCAAAGTACGCCCCGCGTAACCTGAGTACGCCCCGCGTACTGAGTACGCCCCGCGTAATTTGAGTACGCCCCGCGTAATCCCAGACCCAGCAGCCTCTAAATAGAACTCGAATTCAGCCATTTTCTCTTGTTCAAACTCTTCCCTCTCTCTAAGTTTTGCCTCGATTTGCGTGCCGTTTATACCCCAAAGCCCCGGTATCATTCCCGAGCCCCGAAGTAAGATCCGAAGCCCCGAGGATCCCGAAGAGCGTTATTCCCGAGCCGAAACGCTGCCCGCGAGGAGCCCGGTTTTGTGAAGATCTTCCAGATCTACGGAGAAACACCTCTTCTGCAAGCCGTAGTGCTGCCCGATCATCTTTTGATCAAGTGAGTGTGTAGTTATTTTCATTCCAACGCAATATTATGAAGTATTTCCTATAAAATACGTGTTATGTGTATATACTTGGTTGTTATACGTGTGAGTGTATATTCACTCTCTTCTATCTTATAGATCTGATGTATTCTCTATGAAATACGTGTTATGTGTGTATGCCTCATCTGTTATGTGGAATATGTGTTGATTAAAACATGTTATACAGGTTTTTAAACTATGTATAAAAACGTATATTTTTATCTACTAATATGTTGGGTAGAACATGGGTAGGTAATTGGTGTGTAATAAACAGATGAGAGGCCTCGGTGTTATTGGTGTTATTCTAGTCATTCAGCAGAGTATGGATGACGACCACGGACTATTCTAGACTGTCCTGTGGAACACTAGCAGGCTCATTACCTGTAGGTGTTGTGAACGACGTGTTCACCGGTGTACTCTATCCCCCACATGGTTGCCTTTAGGATACTTATTGTTGAGGAAGCCCCTCTGCAGTAATATCCGTCCCGATGAAAAATCCTAAATAGTTCCTTATAATAGACGTTATTTTTAGGAACGTAAGGTGAGGATAACGGGAATGGGTAATCGGGTTTATTGTTGATGTTGAAATTAAATATAATTATTGTGGGTTGAAAACCCTATATGCTCACCAGGCTCCCAAGCCTGACCCACTCAGTTGATTTATTTTACAGGAAGTGGCGCAAGAGCTTAAGATGGGCGAACATCAAGTTGTTTTGTTTACAAGTCTGTATATGTATATATTTGTTGAACGACTTGTAATGTTATCGTTTATGCTTTATGACCTGTATCGGAACATGACATCCCGACTTTTGATTTGAAATGAAATCATATTTCTTTATGAAATGTTTTGATAAATATCTATTTTATCATGTTTTGTTTTTGGGAACAAATTCCGCATCTCTTTAAAATTAAAAGGATTTACTCTGAAAATTATTTTAAAAAGCATAAATGAAATCGGTCTTTTCTGGCCGAGATTTTGGGGATGTCACAGTTGGTATCAGAGCATTAGTTTAAGCGAATTAGGAATTTGTAGGATTTCTAAACTTAAACTTAGCATTCTAAGTGGAGATTGCGAGGTGTGTGTCTGTTGGATCTTAGACACAAGCACTAGTTTATTTTAGGAAAGTTGCCTAAAATGCTTTTATGTGCTAAATGTTATATGTTGCCATATATGATATTATTTGTTCGGATCTATGGTTTGTTGCCAACCGGATCTGAAGGTTTATGTGTTTAGGATTCTAAGCGTATGTATACGATATTAGAATTAGCATGTAATCGTTTGGAGTAATAAGGTGAAATTATTCGGTGTATAGATCAAAATGGTGAGAACAAGAAGCGGAGTTGGAAATGCTAATGAAAACAGGAATCAACCGCCTGTAATCGAGCAAGTACCTGTCGTAGCTGCTGCACCTGAGCCGATAACAATGGCTGGTGTACAAATGATGATTCAAATGATGTTGGATCGTCAGATGGAAGAAACAAGACGCCTGCTTAGGCAGAATCGTGAAGAACCGTCAATTCAAGCGGAAGAGCCCGAGGAGAATGGAGGGCAGTCTGAAGGAGAAAACTTTAGTGGGATCATTGGTCAAGACGAACAACCAGTGGTTAGACGCAATAACCAGTATGGAGGAAATGATGGTCGTGGGTGCAAGTATAAGGATTTCATGGCATCCAAACCACCATGCCTATCCGGAAGCCCGACGCCGGTACAAGTTATGGACTGGGTCTCTGAAATGGAGACTATGTTTGAAAGTTGCGAATGCAGCAACAGGCAGAAGACCGCTCTTGCGATCCCTCTGCTAAAATCTGGCGTGTTGAGTTGGTGGAAGCTGTTAGCTGACTCTATGCCCAAGGGAGAAGCAAGCAAAATGTCTTGGGAAGACTTTCTGGAACAACTAAAACTACAATACTGCTCCGAGCAGGACCTTCTGGAAATCAGTAATGAGTTTCAGAATTTGAAGAAGGGGAAATTGAGCGTTACTGAATACGCTACAAGTTTCACGGAAAAGATGAAGTTTATCCCATATTTGGTGCCTACAGAACTCTCTAAGGTCAACAAGTTTTCCCTTGGACTACCAGCGGACTATGGTCCAATGGTTAAGCAAGCAACCACATTGAAAGCCGCCATCTGGGTTGCTAGAAATGTTGAGACCCAGATCAGGGAAAAAGGTCTAGAAAGGTCAGAGGTTGGTGAGAAAAGGAAAATCGATGGATTTTCAGGGTCCAGCAAGAAAAGTAAATTCTCGAAGTCTAGTTCGAGAGGAAGTGGAGGAAAGGTAGAGGCGAAATGGTGCGACAAGTGCAAGAAGAAGCATCATGGGAAGTGTGGCGGGGAAACCAAATGCTACAAATGTGGAAAGCCAGGGCATTATGCCAACGAATGCACCTTCACCAAGAATGTTTGTTATGGTTGCGGTGAGGAGGGGCACATCTCAAGGGATTGTCCGAAGAAGAAGGAGGCAGCAAGACCCAACATTCCGCCAAAGCCAAAGGCGAGAGCATTCCAGATGACACTGGAAGCTGCTAAAGATGAAGCTGATGTCGCTTCAGGTACCTTTCTCGTTAACAAATTGCCTGCCCAAATTTTATTTGATTCTGGAGCCAACTACTCCTTTATATCGCATGAATTTGGTAGAAAACTAGCTTTGCCTATTGTGAGACTAGATAATGCTTTATTAGTCGAAGTTGCTAGTGGCAAGATTGTACCTATTAACCATCGTATGAAAAACATTTTAATTGATTTGAATGGGAATAAGTTCCACGAGGAATTATTACCTATAGAACTTAATGGTTTCGACATCGTTTTGGGAATGGATTGGCTTAGTGCCAATGATGCCGAAATTTTATGCAAGAAGAAAATAGTGAAAGTGAATTCGCCTGGAAAGGAATCGTTTATGGTGTATGGAGATAAACGCAGAGTAAATTCTGGAATCATTTCCCTAATGAAAGCCAGAAAGTGTTTGACTAAGGGATGTACATCATATTTAGCATTCGTGATCGATGCTAAGAAGGAAAAGAAGGTGATGCAAAATATTCCTGTTGTGTGTGATTATCCGGAAGTATTTCCCGAAGATCTTCCGGAACTATATCGTCATTATCTCCAAGTTACTTGCTTCCAGGTATATATACGCTTGTTGTTTCAAATATATATACGTCTTATACTTCGTTAGGGTTTACTATTAGGGTGCCGAGTTCGAAGAGATTATAATCTATACGGATTTTCATCTTGTATAACTGAAACCATTTGATGTTATTGATATATGATAGGCGGTTTATCAAGAAGAGCGAATGATTATGTCATATTGTATTTTTTCCGATGGGGAAAGGCATGGAAAGCAAGTCTGGGTCTCACCAGATATTGAAAGACAGAGATAAGAACCGCGTGGAGGACCTCCATGGAATGTTTACAAATTTGCAGTTAACAAGGAAGTTAATCAGATGCTCAAAGAATGGAAGAATGAACTCAATGAGCCTTCACATGCTTCTTCTTTACAACAGGTTTGTCATATTGTTGTTAAAAGTTAGAACACACATCATTTTCTTCATAGAAGCCATGGTGACTAAACTTGTGTTGTGTTTGACCGAGGTTCAAATGTTGAAAAGTGAGGTGAATAGAGTGTCTACACAAGTGTTGTTGATTGTTGTTTCCATGGTCCAACTTAGTCAATTTTCTTTTTTGCCACATCCGATTGATAGTGATTCTTATGATAGGATTGTTGTTTGTGTAAGATTGTTGTGTAATCGAAATGAAGATATGAAGAAAATATGGTTGCAGTCTTGTTGTGAAAGTTTTGTTCAAATGCTTGTGGAGAAACATATGAGGGAAACTGAAGAGACAAAAGCTAAGGCTTTGGTTTCTCATGGTCAACCTGATGCTCTCATTGACTTTTACCATTTGAAGAGCAGGAAGGTAACTTTCTTGTTTCTTATGTTTTGGTTTCTCATGCTCAACCTGATGATCTCATTGACTAATATCTCCGAAAAATAAAATAGTTGAAAATCTATGTTTTATTCTACATGGTGGAGCTAAAAAACAGATATGATAAATTTAATGTGACCATATGAGACTTGGCATATCTATGTTTTATTCTACATTGGGAATTTGTTCTGATTGTCTAATTTTTACAGGAACCTGAAAGTTGTTTGGATGCACACCAAGCGCTCGCTAAAATGCTTCAACTGAATGGTATTTCTTCGTTCATACTATTCTCATTAACAATTGTTGTTGGGAAATTGATTTTATTTGGGACTAATATACATATCAGAATGAGCAGTTTTTTGACTACATTTTATGAATTGATTCATATTTCAATTTTTTTTTTCCTAATTTAACACTTCATTTATGTGGACATTGCAGGATCTTAACGATGTTGAATTCTGAAAAGGTATCAAGTATGTTTATGTAGATGATTTAATGGATGATATTGGTGAGATTCCAATTCTATTCGAATGGAATCACGAATTCCAATTCTGTTGGAATGAAATCATGAATTCCAATTATGTTGGAATCACATAAGTTGATGTTTGATGAATGGACCACAAAATTGAAACAGGCCACATTATTATTTTAGAATGTATTAGTCGTTGTTAGATTTTTGATGTTTTCTTTTCCGTTTTGAAAGTTTTTTAGTTTTATTCTTTAACAATAAATGTAATTCTTAACAATTGTTACCCGTATTCTATAAGAAATAATGTATTTTTTGTTTTTATTCTTCACTTGATTGTTCAAGAATTTGTTATTCTACAAGAAGTTTTTAAATTCATGATCAAGAAATAGGTTCAAGAATTTTTTTTTTATTATTTACAGCTCAAAAATATTTTTATTTTTGAATATACTCATAAGCATATTCTATCAGAATATCCGAATTAAAAACCTTATAATTATTAAAATTCGGATTTTTAAAATTAATAGAATCTATGATCCCTTAAAATATACAAATTTCCTTTCTTAAATATGTATTAATTGACTAAAATACCCTTCTAGTTAAATTGGATGATATTTTTCAATTATTTTTAATTCAATAATATGTATTAATCACTTTATTAAAATAAAGAAAAAGATTGGTCCATAATTATGCATACAATAACACAATAATTAATTTTAATAGAATAATCTATATATATATATATATATATATATATATATATATATATATATATATATATATATATATATATATATATAGTAATTAACCTATAATGGCAGTCTACTTTACATTTTGTTCAACGATAACATTTTTTCATGTATAGGTATCCTATTTTCCATTATAACTAATATAATTGTCTTTTTTTTTTTTTTTTTTTTTTTTTAACTTTAACCTATAACAATATGTCTGGTCAGGAACCTAACTTTGTTTAAGATCAAGCAAATTTAAGTTCGTAACAATTCCAGTCTCAAAAAATATACAATGATGCCTTGCCCCGATGTTGATTTTGTATCTTCTTCAAACGATCATCTTGTCATTGAGGTCTTAGATAAAACAGAATATTTAAGTTTAGATAGACCCTGTTAATCTGAGTTTCTTCATGATCAGTTTGATATCAATTTATACACACATGGTGTTTTAAAAGGTCTACAAAGTTCATGTCTGCCAAATCGTAAGTTAGTTAAATTTCTTTGTATAACATACATTTTAATTGTAGTATAACAATTGCATTTCCATAATTATTTGTGGTTGTTTTTTAGTCTATATATATCATCATTCTTTTTCCAATAATTTACACATAAAGAATGTCCCTTATATCTTCGAAATATTTTACATATTAATTTGAAAAAACTATTATAAAGTTACAACAAATCATATAAATATGTAAATGAATAACTCTTTTAAATAATTGTATAATGATTTTCAACTATCAATTTTTGTTTAATTTGTAAAATGTGGTTTTCACGTGTTATAACCTAATATATATATATATATATATATATATATATATATATATATATATATATATATATATATATATATATATATATATCACGAATCGTGATGCACCTGTTGAAATGTTTGCAATAGTTATTTTTTATGTAAGTTTCTTAATTTTTTTATCAAACACTAATACGAGATTATCTTTATAGAACTTCCCGGTACAATAAGATTTAATTATTTGGAATTTATTTAAAATATTTAAAGCGTTTTAATACTGTAACACTTCCATGGAAGTATGGTTTCTATGTTTTTATTTAACCTCGTGTTTTAATTGCCTATAATACGTTAGTAATAATAATTTGTTATTTCTAGTTTCTTAAAATAAGGAAATCACTTTCTATTAAGTTTATTAGCTATGAAAGTGTTGTATTGCACGAATTTATTTTAAAAAAATTAAATTAAATATGAATGTATTAAATATATAGAAGTTTAAATTTATAAGGAAAATGAGAAAAATATTGAAATTAAATTGTTTATTTCTCTTTTAATTTTGAACAAATAATTTAAACAAACGAACAAAAAAATAATTGGATTTTAATTTAGGAATTTTAAAATTAAAATTAAAGTTAAAATTAATAAAATTGATATCCACTTATTATTATATTTATTATAATTATTTCATTTAAGTACAATATATAATTTAGTAAAATAACATATAAAAAATTTTAAAATAACTACAAAATAACATATAACAAAATAAATAAGAATATAACATTTAGTTAAAAATTTATTTATTAAAATAAACGTATTTTAAAGAGATAATATATATATATATATATATATATATATATATATATATATATATATATATAAAATCAAATTATAATATATACCAAGTATATCAAATTTTTATTGCAGTCGACATGTTATATTATTAAAGGAAAAAACTTTTATATTCAACGAATTTATAATTACAGAAACAACACGTGAAATAATAAAAATAAAAAATTGGGTTGGGAAAAAGAACGGCGGTTAGGAAGCGAGGAGTCCATCACGTCAATTTTCTCCTGCCATTTTTGTTTTTTCTCACTTCATTATTTGGTGCAATTATTGAGGTTGGGTTTTTTTCTTTTCCTTTTTATTTTTAATCGTATTTTTGGGCATTACTTCGTGGACCACGGCTACCAACGACCACCATGATTGGGTGGGGTTGCCACTCATCGCCACCGGACACGGAAGCTTCCACGGTCTACACTCTACACTCTACACTTTAGGTCTCTCATTTTATACTACAACTACAACTCTACGTGACACAAGTAAATGTAATTAAGTTATTAGATAATTTAATATTAACAAGTGGGTGGGAA